CCGCAGGTCATAGGTTGCCAACCCCTGGTTTGTGCAAATTGGCACAAACTTAGTAGGTAAGGATATTGTGATGGAAACCAATAAAATAATTATTTTCAGTTATTACCATTTTTGAAGGATTGGTGAAATGAGAAATGTATTCACATTTTTCTTTTTGGGATTTGCCAACACCTAATAAACCAGCAACAAAACATGTTACTAACAAAGCTGGTTAAATTCATTACCATCTTGATTTGGCAATGGGTTTTATTTAGCACTGTACCTAGACTCCTGGTGGCCCCGTTCAAACTTTTAGGATCGGGCCCCCCTTCACCAGAGATAATGATAATAATAAATGGGACAACAGAGAAAATTTACGATTTTCAGGCCCCAATCCTGTCTGGGCCACGGGCAGCCACGCAGTTCACCCTGTGTCCAGCCCTGGTTATATTCACTTCTACAGCCTTTCAACTCTTTGTATCTCTTCTACTGAAAAGGCTCAAGGCAGGGATCTATATTTCTATATACTCCAGTACAACAGAATACTAGCCAGGAATGGGGACAGTGGCCACAACTATAATGTATAGGTATATTAATGATCACACAAGTCTTAGAGAAGAGCATTTAGTACATTTCAAATATAAAACAGGGAAGTGCCCCAAATGTCCTTTCTAGCTCTCAGTTTTATGATGAAGTGAACATACTTAGCATACTCACAGCTAACTGATTTCCAAGCTGGCTTTTGCCCGGGAAGCTGGAGACCATTAGAAGGAACTGGTGACACTGGAGCTGTCTCAAATGTGGGCTTCTGGGCAAGGAAAAATGATCACACTGAATTAAATCAAAGGCCTACAGTTCCATCAACAGCGTATCATTCACAACTTATATTGTCTTCATCAAATTTAAACAATCCACTGTGATGTGCCTGAATAAGCTTTACATACCCAGCCTGTATATTAATCTTCTTCAGGCTGCACAGATGTAGAGCACAGTGAGGTCAGCAAGTATTACTGTATTTCTCCAAAGCTAATGAGTTCTGCCTTATATAACTGAAATGGACTAATTAAGTTGCTGGATATAATTGCAGCATGTGAAAGGTTCTTATCAATTTGTAATTCATTTTGCTTGTAATCAGTTTGCGATCGTTCTGCTGAGTCCTTCCTGATGCACCCTGAACACCTTCCACTTCCCCAGAAAATCTGCAGGAATTGAGGCAACTCAGCACTTCAAAGGAATAGGCGGCCAAAATCAGTTCGAAATGTGCACCAGCATTTCCCCCCACAGACTACGGTATGTCGTAACACTGGTTTTTTTTTACCAGAGAGTTGCAAAATTATCTGAGGGAAAAAGTCCCTTGTTGGTTGTTCACTTTCATTAATTTTCACCCCAGAAATTGTTTCACACTGCGTAAAAACAGAGTGCGAGCATCTGTCACAGCAGCGAATGGGGCTGAAGGTCGAAGTGCAACTTTCACATGGTGTGACACATTTTCAGGTGTTGAATTTTGCCCTTTTGATTAGTGGTGAAGGGACTGATCCTGAGGAGTATTAGAGGTGAATGAGAGAGAGTAATACTGAAAACACGTTTGAAGGCAGCTTGATGAAGACTACTAAACTGTCTAGCAGCTTTGTTATTTTTTCTGTGATCTTCCTTGCATCCTGCTGGGAGACTTGAGAACTGTATTCTCTCCTCCCCTCACCAGGCTTTTACATGCAGCCCAGCATGGCCTCCATCATCTTTTCAGCTCAGAAGCCCTGAGGAGAGCCTGGATGAGTCCAGTATTGCCCTTTAACTTGATGAAGAAGCTGTTCATCAATGTGAGGTGATACTTTCCCTGGGGTCAGAATACACTATCTTTCTAGTTTGTAGTCAGTGTGCAGGAACAGGGCTACAGCAGATATAAGATGGCAAGTATTTTAAAAGTTGGCAGACTTTGGAAGACTGTAATAATTTTGCAGTTGCTGTATGTACCCTTATCCTTTGGGTTTTTTAAGTAACAAAGTCAAATGTATGCTGAATAAAAAAATCTCTCCTGAGAGAGTCCATGTAAGAAGCTACAAACTTGATCACAAACAGGATGTGAGTCACAAGGCTTCTTTTCAACTGTAATTCGTTAAAATGCAAGGGCTAGTTAATAAAAGTAAATAAAAATCTCTCAGATGCTTTTAGATTATCAAAAAATCCCTAACCTTTACAGGACACAAATATAATCATGTATCCTGTTAATCTTAGAGATTTTTTTGGAGGTTCAAATAAATATCGCCAAAGGGCAATTATTCTACTGAAACTGATTATAAACCAAGCAAAATTGACTTTCTCATCCTCTCTCTTTTCCATGCCTAAACTCTACATAGTGCAAAGCATAGGCAAAAAATATTCTGTTGAATATGAATTACATTTGTTTAAAATCCTTCTCATCTTGATAACATATAGCAAATAGTATTAGTGACAGAAATCTAAAAGGGAACCTTTTCTACAACTGCCATTTTTTTCTGGGCTAGCACAGTAGGAGAAGGGGTGGCCAAAAAACCAGTCATGTTTCAGTTACACATTGTATTAACACCAGTGCAAGTTAGAAAATCATAAAAGATTATCTGTGCAGTGCTGGCTACTTGTATCTTTCCATTACAAGGAATTAAAGGTGACAGGTCTTATGACTTTTCTTATGGGGACTTAAAGTAGCTTTCTGTCCTTGCTATACAATGTAAGAAACAGAGGTATTTTTTCCTTATGTGAATTTTATATTTCAACAAAGTCTCTTTAAAGAAAAAAAAGGTGGGAAAAATTGAAAAGCTAATTTTTCAATAAATGTGCTAGGCCCAGAGGGCCCCTGGGCTGGGGCATCAGTGAAGACAGAATTTGGTGCATATCCTGATTTACAGTTTTTCATTAGATAGTACCCATTATTGATACTAAAAATACCTCCAGTGTTTACTAGTACTATGTACAGTAGAACTTACAGTGGGAAGTGGAAATCTGAATAGCAAAAATAAAAGGGGAGATGAGACAGAGAGGCAGTTTTTTAAAAAGCTTTCTGCCATATAGAAGATTTAAAAACTAATCATCAGACCATCACAAAATGAAAATGCTAATGTCTGTGCTACAGCACAGCTAAGAGAAATTGTAAACCCAAGATATTATTGTTATCATTTTACTCATGCTGCAGGTTTCCACTTGTAGATTTATTCACTGTTTCCACCACTGTTGCTTTAACTGCCTTTTGTGCCCCTTGGAGAGCTGAGATTCTTCTTTAATTAAAGCCTGATCTTGCATGTGCTAGTCTAGGAAAACTCCCTGGCTAAATACAGAAATTCAAAAAGCCCGAGCCTGAATAAATTCAATCTTTGCAGGTTAGTCTAACCAGCGTAGATTGAACTGAGAAGCAAATGAACAGACATTCACTTTTGATTCTGGAAATGCAGCCACATGCCTGCAGTAGCTCATGGCAGAAGCTTGGGGGGCACTAGAGTGAGCCCCCCCTTCACTTTGGCAGTGACTAGAAGGCTGGAGGGAAGCTGAACTCCCTCCCCTATCCCACTGGCACAGGACCCCATCTGGGATCTGCCAGGCAGGGTTGCAGCAGCCCCTGTCAGGTCCTGTGCCAGTGGGAGAGGGGAGGGAGGGGAGAATTAAATCCCTTCCCCTCCACCTTTGACTCAGGCTGCCACTGGGGCAGGCTGTGCCCCCCACCGGTCAAGCAGTGAGCAGGGGAAATGCCTGATGGGGTATGCTGCACTCCTGCCTGGCAGACCCTAGCTGGTGTCCCGTGCTGGTGCGAGAGCACCACTTCAGGCTGCTGCCAGGGCTGGACAGGCTCCCTGCTGCTTGAGTGGCAAGCAGGGGGAATGTCTGACAGGGGCCACTGTACCTCTGCCTGGCAGACCCCAGCTGGCATCCCATGCTGGTGGAAGAGGGGATTAAACTCCACTCCCAGGCTGTCCCCATCCAGGTTTCCCACCCCCACCCCCTTGTCAGCCAGCCCTCACTGCTCTAACCAGAGAACAGAGGGGCTGGGCCAACCCTGCTCTGCTCAAGTAGACAGCACAGCCCACCCCAGGGCTGCAAAGCATCCTGGTATGTTGGGGGACTGTGATTTAACTTAAATTGGGTCTGGGACAGAAGTTCCATAAATGGTTTGACCTAAGTCAGTTAAGTCTGATACTACATTCAAGTGGCTTTATCTTAAACCAGCTTTGGCTATTTTGAAACTGGTTTATGTGCACTTAACTTCTGTTTAGTTACAGGTTTAAAATAGTTTCTGATTACTTAAGCTGGTTTATGTGCAACTTCTGTTCCTAGCCCCTTAGAACTAAAAAGATGTCTTATTTGATGGAGGTGTTCAGGGTTTGGTGATTCATTAGTATGAAATTAACTTTTACCAAAAGTGTTTTCAATTCCCACCCTCCCCAACAGCTTTCCTAATTTACTTTTAAGTTTCAGCAGAGACCAAAATGCCTGATTTTCAGATACACTGAGCACTTGCAGCCAACAGCCTTTAAATGGGTGCTGTGAGTGATTAGCACTCATGAAAATCAGGCTATTGTGACTAATACACCATAGCAGTAAACATGGTTCTCTGCTGCACGTGATGAGTACTGATGAGCACAAGATGAGTACTGTTAGGGGTGGGGAAGACATTTCATCTAAGGGAAGCTCCCTAAGAGAACATTTTGAGGAAGCATCATTTTTTTTAGGGCTTCATGGTAGCACATACAAGGTGCGTTTACACATGCGCGTTACTGCACATTTGACTAATCTAATGTGCAGTAAAGCATCAGCATCTATACATGTGCAGAAATTACTGTGCAGTAAATTAATTTAAAGTGTCATTTGCCAGTACCCACAGATGCAGGTACTTTAAAATGGCACTTTAAACTAATGCTCAAAGTGCATGTGTAGATGCCAACTGGGAGCAAATTGATCCCAGTTAGCCCAGGCAGCAGGGGGCCACAACTGCTGCCTAGCTAAGTCATGAGCTCAGGGGAGCAGGGGGGAGCTGTCCCTGACTCTGAGGGCAGCTCTGAGCTGTGTAGAGCTCAGGGTTAGCTCCAAGCTGCAGGGAGGAGCTGTCACTGTAGCTCCCTGCTGTCCTGGGGTATCTCCCAGCCTCGAGAAGGTGGGGATAGCCACAAGCTCTGGGGGTGGGGGAAGGGGAGCTGGCCCTGGCTCCTGGGGCAGCTCCAGACAGCAGCTCTGCCCCATCCCCTGGAGCCCAGACCTGACCCGCTGTGCCCCCTGCCTACCCAAGCCTGCCCCTGGAGCCCCCTGCCAGGCTGGGGCTGGCCTCAGTGCCCCCAGACTCCCCTTTGCTGCTACAGGGTGGGGGAGAGCACAGCAGGAGCAGCCCCAGACTAAGTTGCTCCTGTTGTGCTCAATTTGCTTCTGACCCCGGTACACGTGTAGATGTGTGCCCGGGAGCAGTTTAATGCACCTGAATTTATCGCATGTAGATGTGCCCTCATTGAATCTGATCTTAGGCTACCATAGCAAGCTTCCTGTTTTTAAATCAGATTGACTGTTCTGGGTGTGATAGCCTCAGAGTGAAGTCAGTTCTTCACTTCTTTCCCTGTACATTTGGGGTGTTTTGTGCTCTTCTGGGAGCAGTCCTGCAATTGGGAGAGTGAGGGATCTGTAACTCTGGTGTCATCAAGACCTGAAGCAGAAGGATTCAGTGCTACATTCCTCTTGGGTAACAGTATCAAAACCTGATCCTCTGAGCTCTGATTCATTATGCCAGACAGTGATGTAGCACCTTTCAAATGAACTTATAAACCTAGTGTAGGAACCTTCACTAAAACTTTCCCTATGCCCACAATGACTAGGAAAATCTTTACTTGCCCTTCCCTTGTGTCTTTTCTTCCTGTCTGCTGACAGCAAAGCAAACTAAAAACGAAAAAAGGAAGAAAGAAATCTGTTTAGGAAGCAAAGGAAAAAACCAAAACAGGGAGGATAATCCTTTGTCTATTGCTGATGATTGTGCAGTTTACATAGTAACAATGTTTATTCCCCTTTCTCTTGTAGTTGAGGGTAAAGCTAAATGAATCTTCCCTTGGGTGGCTCT